CCAACACCTTCCCAAATCTAGATCTCTCAGTACTTATATAAATGCTTTTGGGGTATTTGGTAAACAAATATAGAAGATGCATGTTATTTGAGGAAAAAACATGCAATTTTCTTTTGCATTCTATCAGGATATAAATGCATGCTAACTTTGATCACTGCAGGTGATAAAAGCCTTGTAATGCTCATTTTCCCCTACATAAGTACTAAATAATCCTTTCAGTGGTACTTTCATACTGCAAACTTATTTTCTCCAACAACTTGTCACCTGATGGTGTTAGTGCCTGATGCAGGCCTTAAAAAGAGGACCTAATGCCAGAGGCTTAAGTGGAGAGCAAATGTTTGGAGAATGATGAGGGCAATGAATGTACAAATATGCTTTACACAAATGATGTATATATGGGTTGTGATAATAAAACTATTAAAAAAAAAGGAAAAAAAGAATTCTTGATTATTCATCCGGCTATCATGCCAGGAAAAGAAATTACTATGTTTTCCTCACTTCACAAAAAAAAAATCTGTCAATTAGCATGGGTCTGGAACCGTTTCAATGTTTTCTTTGATTTTCAGAAACCAAGCCACCTCCTGCCATGCAGCTTTGTAGCTATCGGCATTTTAGTGGCATTTTTCCTGCTGCTTCAAGCCTGTCCCTGGACTTACTACGTCTACTGTTTGCTGCCGGTGCCCATATGGTATGCGGTTTTAAGAGAGTAAGGAACATGTCTTTCTTTCTTGTTTACTTCTTGTTTTTGCATTATTTACAATTAGATGTATATTTAAAAGAGATTTGGTTTCTGTAGGACACTCATCAAAGACATGTTTATTACACCCTTTCATCATCAAGTCTTCTTAGTCAATTCGAGATATTGAAATGTGGCCCATGGACATCCTTTCTGTCTTATCTTGTCCCTTTGAATGCAATGAACATAGTAGTCTCACCCCATGTTGCATCAGGATTTCTGGTGGTGCAGTGGGTTACCATATGGGCTGCTAGCCATGGTCAATTCCTCAGTAAGAGAAAGGTGAGGCTGTCTACGCCTGGCAAGATTTATAGCTTCGGAAACCCAAAGGGTCAGGTCTACTCTGTTCTAGATGGCTGTTATGACTTGGAATTGGGTAGATAACAGTGGGGAAAAAAGGAATTTTGTTTTGATATTGTCTTTGAGAAAACACATAACTAAGATTTCCTTCTCTAAAATTAAACAACAAATTTTTAGTAACTGATTGGTTAAAGAAGAAATCACAAGAGAAATTAGAAATTTCTTTAATCAAAATGAAAACAAAATGTCACAAACATTTTAGTAGGTAGCTAAAGCAGTGTTCAGAGGGATATTCATAGTAATATGTCCCTGTATTAGAAAAGGAAATATCTCCAATCAATAACTTGCCTTAGAAAACCAGAATAAGAGTAACAAACTAAATCCAAATGAAGAAGAAGAAAGAAGAATATTTTTAAAGATGTGAAAATAAGCATAAAAGAGAAAAATAATTTAAACCAACAGCTAGTTGTTTGAAAAGTTCAATAATATAGGCAGACCTTTAGCTGGACTGACCAAAAACAAAGGTCCAATTCCTAAAATTAGGAAAAGAAGTATGACCATCACTCAGCACTGAAAAAAGATTATTATTATAAGGGAAGACTGTATGCCAACAAATGAGAAAACGTAGATGAAATGGGTGCTTTCCTAAAGAGCTGCATTACTAAAACAGCTTCAAGAGGAAATAAAAAATCCAAATATAACTATGACAATCAACCTGAATGAATTAATAATTCCCAAGTCAGATAAAAACTTCCCACAACTAAATATATTTTCTTCTTTATACTTTATTTAGAATCTTGTCAGTGTATGAATTGCATAGAACTGGTTTAAACTAAGAGTAAATAGGACTCACTTGTTTCCATCCGTGTTTGCATGCACAAGTCCCTGGAGAAGGACTTCATGCTTGGTAAAGTTGAGGGTCGGCGGCAAAGAGGAAGCCCCTTGACTGGATGCCTTGATGGAATAGCTTCAACAGTGAGCTCAAACCTCACAACTGTTGTCGTGGTGGGGCAGGTCCAGGCTGACTTTGGTTCTCTTGCAATAGTTACTGTCAGGAGAAACGGGCTCGGTGGCACCTAAAAGTCACAACAAAGAAACCTCTTCTTCACTACCAAACTGATTCATAAATTACAGTCTTCCTGAACACTTCCGCGTTTGAAACACAGAGGGCTGAACTACTGAAACAGATGTGTTAAATTGTATTCTACCTCTCAAAGATCATCCGTGAATTGACGTCTTTCTGGTTTCTGATCTTGTGAAAGGTTTTCTTTGTCGCTCTGTGTGACTTAGTTGATGTGGCCTGGTGGTGTAGTCAGCTATACACTGAGCTGCTAACCACAAGATCAGAGGTTTGACCCCACCAGCCATGCAGAGAGAGAAAGATGAGGCTGTCTATGCCCAGAAAGATTTAAAGTCTCAGAAGCCCAAAGAGGCAGATCTGTCCTGTCCTATAGTGAGTGTTGCTAT